CATTACTACAAGGACTTCCTGTCCTTGTAGTAATGCCATGTCCTTCCTGTCTCCCCTTTCTTTTCACATGTTTATGTGCCTATTTTCCCATTTCTCTCTTTCCCTTCTCTGCTTCTCCCCTGTAGAGCCCTGATAGTCTTCCCTTTCACTCTTCCCTTTGCAGAACCAAGCCACTTGCTTTGTTATTTTCTCTTTCCCTCACCAGCCTCTTTGTGAAGGTTCTAACCTGGGTCTCTGCGAGTGGCCTGCGTGCCTCTGCATTTCAGAGAGTGGCAATAAAAGGATTGCCAGCTCAGCCTGGTGATAGTTTAGAAAACATAGATAGCAGAAGCAGAGCTTTATCTCCATTCCTGTTTCTTGTGCTATGCTGTGAGGAAGAAGAGAGATTAATAGAAAAAGGTGCTAAAGGAGGAGAGAGTTTCCATGGTGGAGGGCTGGATGGCGGAGCAGATGCTTGTGGAGGAACGCCGTTGTGCCCACTGCGGGTGGAGAGCAGGAGGAAGAGCTAGCTATGCCTGCATGGGCTCAGATCCGGTGTAAGATTTGGCCCTTGCACAATTCATTAGTACTTCAGGAAGTTTAGCATGCATTTTTTATCCATCTTCACCTGTCATATCACTGTGTTAATTTGTCGAGCCTCAAGAACCAAGTTTGTCTTTAGGATGTCTTCAAAGAGCTTTTTCTATTCGTATATCCTGGGCAGAGCTTGGACCTACACGTCATTTTTGGTTATTACAGCTTTTTTGTTCAGTTTTTTACTTTAGCCTTTTATTTATTTTACTGGTCAACCTTTAAAAAATTATTTAATTTCATTTTATTTTTCAGACACCTCTTATTGAACCTCACATCCCACATCGTCCTACTAAAACCATTACACAGGTAATAGGATATAGATGTACTGTAGAGCCAGGCCATTAGACAAATGGAAATAACTATTTCCAACAGTGTGATAGGAGTCAACTGAAGTGATGCTTTCTGTTAGATGTGATAAGTATGTGAGACTTAAAATCCCAAATATATACTACATTGCTCTGCAAAAGTAAGCATCTGTGCAAGGACTTTTAATTCGGGGAAAAGAGAACTTGGGTTTTGTTTTGCAGAAGGCAGTACAGAGATTCCAGAAAGTTTAAAATCTGTACGTCTTGATCCTTTTTTTTTCTCCATGATCACCAAGGTTCCTTCAGAAAAGATCCTCAGAGCTGGAAAGATTTTGCGGAATACAATTCTGTCCCGAGCCCCTCACATGATAAGAGATCGCAAATACCATCTGAAGACTTACAGGTGTGTGAGCTGATTGTAGAGAGATCTCTGAATTCTATGCCTGCCATCCTCTGTTTTGTGATTTATGCCTTACCATACTTGCAGGTCTCAAAAGGTCTGAAATTATTCTGTGATGCTATTTGAGTCTGGATGTTATGCAGTCTTTAATGGGCCTGGTAAATCCTTTCTGAAGTAATTTGACTGGAAATTGGGTCCGTGATTGTGAACAGAGTATTCAAACACAAAAACTCTTCCAAAGTTAATAGCGTAGTTAGCTGGAATATTCTGTGTAATGCCAAGTTAAAATGTAGATTCTGTTCTCTTCATCTATCAGTAAGAGATAATAGAAAAGCTCATTAATATGTTACTGTACTGATTGCTACAGCAGTGTTGCTCAGTGTGGAGTTCTGAAAATTCACCTGGTGAGAAGCATTCCGTATGTAGATTTTCTGCTCTATTTAATTTTTTTTTCAGTGTGTTGTCAGGATTTCTTATCTTCCTGCTGGTGGCAGCACAGTCTTGCTGAAGTGGGATGATAATGGCACTTATAGAATAGAAATGTGACTGCAAGATGTCAGAATCTATCTACTGTTGGCTTAAGAAATAATCAATTTGTTTTAGTGTCAAACATTTAAATCAAATACCTAATGCATTATTTGGAGTATATTTAAGTAAAAATTGGTTTGAAATCTCTGGGTGTATCTTTTTCTAAATAGTAAATCAATATGTTGCTGATCTGCTTTTGAAATAAGTGCATTGATTTTCCATATTTCAGTCCAAAATATATTTAATATGCAGAGGTATTTGGAGCTTGTGAGTTGCTCTGAGAATATATCACAGTATAACACTGTTGATTGCTCTGCAAGAACAAAAGAGCCTATATGATAAATGAAGACCAATGCTGGCCCAAATAACTGCACAGTTTTCTCTTATACATAACTGGGAAAACTCTTACTGTTCTGCTGAGCCAGGGAGTGTTATGACAAAGAATTTTACTAAGTGATCGTGGCTTTTGGGGTTTTTTCCCCTTCTTTGGATGTTCTCCAGAATTTGAGGCCTACTGTTGTCTGCCTCTGGGTCAGTCAGGAGATGCAAGGTGACCAGCACCTGGCATGAGAGAACCTCAGGAACACTGTAGATCTACAGACCAATTTGCCTAAGTTTATACAGAATTCTTGACAGTCACTGTGTGCGATCTCTCTCTTGGCTGTCTCCCTTTTAATTTCTTTTTATTTATTTGTCCTTCAGGCAATGCTGTGTGGGGACAGAACTAGTTGACTGGATGATGCAGCAAAGTCCTTGTGTCCATTTACGAACCCAGGCTGTTGGCATGTGGCAAGTATTGCTGGAAGAAGGTGTTCTTAACCATGGTAAGATAAAGAAAATCAGCATCTTGACTAACATATGGACAGTGTGTGATGTCAGTGCCTCTGTAGTGCTCTTTCATGAAAAAGAAAGGGATCATGACCCCAAAAGAAATGCTGCAGAGCGGGCTGCTCATTCATAAATGTAACACACAGACATTATTATTTGAATCTTGCTACCAGTATACCTTTTAAACTTATGAGCATATTGAAAAGTAAATGAACAATATATAATGTTAACTCTAATTATACATGGGAGTACACTGGCTTGTGCTTATATCGCAAGAGCTGGATAACATTCAGGCCAAAATCAAGAGATGTATTACCATACATAAAACTGATCTTCATCAAAGACTTGCAGTTTTTAAAAGTTAATGTGAGCATTTGTGTTTGCTCATATCCATAAATCTGGAGTGGTTTTCAGTGGTTTTGGAATGGTTCCTAAATTCAACACTCCAGATATTCCACTGCAGACATATGGGATTTTATGTTAGCTTTCTGACTGCATTTTACATTGACTTCCAGTTTCCATTTGGCAGGATTTACTTGGTAACAGGATATTATAGCCCTCAAAAGGGTAGCTTTCTAAAGCATTATTCATATTTGCAGCTTTGCACATACATTTTTATTAAATTCAGAAGAGCAGCTCTATTACAGTACACTTCCATTTATCCTCTGTTGTGCTTCTCATATCCCAGTGAGAAATTTCCACACTGAGGAGACAGACTGTTTCCATTGCTCCCAACACATATATATGGAAGCCTTTTGGAAAGTATTTGTAGCACACAATTTAGAAGTGTACTCTTCAAGCTACGTAATTTGGACATATGTGACAAATAAGGGTGTTTCATACTCTCACAGTTTCTTTGTAGCTTTCTTTCCCTTCTTAACTAATATATCTCTGTCATGATGCTACACAGATTTCTACAAGGTTAACTTTGATGAGGAGTACTTAGTATTTTATATATTTTGTTGTTTTCAGTGGATCAGGAACACCACTTTCAAGACAAATACTTATTTTATCGATTTTTGGATGATGAACGTGAAGATGCCCCTTTGCCAACTGAGGAAGAGAAAAAGGAGTGTGATGAAGAGCTACAGGACACTATGCTGCTTCTGTCTCAGATTGGGCCAGATGCTCATATGAGGATGATTCTCAGAAAACCGTAAGCAGATTAATGAGTTAATATTACAGGCCTTTCTTGTGATACCGAAACAAGAGAAACTTATGTTTATTATCAGGCATCCTTTGGCCGGTTATTTCACTTCAGTGCCAGTTTCTCCAACCTCTGAAGTTTTTACATCCATGTTAAGTCATTTCTAGTCCTCATTAATACTTACAAGTTGAACTGTGTGTTGAGAATAACCATGAAAGGCCATGAATGCCATCACGCTCACCTGGAGGAAAATGCTGCATTATGAGGTTTTTATTTCATTTCTGAGTCTCCCCTAAAGTAAGTTTCAGGTAATAGCAGGGTCCTACTCTGGTAACACTTTGTGTGTAGAAGTGTCATTCAATTAACTAATGCTGCTTTCAGTAACTTTGAGTGAGTAGAGTGGTAGGATGGCAGCACAGCAGGTGCCTTTCAGTTACAGTTGTCAGTGACAGCCATTAGTTAGATTCAGCCTTAGTAGAACTTTATTGAATCAAGATAGGCTGGACTTTGCCTGTTGTAGTTTTCTAGGAAGGTGTGAAATGTGGCTCTGTGAGTTTATTTATCAATTCTTATTTTTATAGAATCAATACTTTAAAAAGAAAAAGCTTTCTGTACCTAGGCCACAGAGGATGTCTGCCTAACCTTTTGATAGCTACCAGATCACATCCCCTCACTCCTTGATTGGCTAACCATCCTTTCAGCAGTGCACTCTGGTCACACTGAAAACTGTGTCAAAGGCTGTTTTTATAGGCAGCTTTATAGTGACTTCAAAGCAACCAGTGTAAACTCTGTTTGACTCTCCATTGAAGACAACCTCTTCATTAAGCAGGTAGTGTTTAGTGGCCAATTAATATTTTCTGTGGCCACTAAACATATTTTACTGCTAATTAAGCACACTGAGAATAAGGAATTACTTCAGCTCACCTTCACTGAAGATTTACTTGTAAGGGTCAGTTCAAGACAGGTAAAGCACACAAAGCTGGATCCTGCTCCTTTGAGGCCATTGGCAAAGTTTGTCTTTGCTGTGGGATAGGGTTGGGCCCTGCCAACAGTGTGAGAACATTTTTCATACTAAAAATGTTTTCAATCACCTAACACAAATGTTTGCTCCTGTTCTCTTTCCATCTGTGTCCTTTCCCTGCTCCATTCTTGTCCATGTGTTATGTTTAGATTGTTAAGCTCATTTAGACAGCGCTTTTCTAAAAACTTACTAAAAGCACTGAATTTCAAAAAGTACCATCAGACACTTGTGTTTATAAAAAAAGGTAATACTGCCATGGAGCAATAGTTTTAAGGTAAATATTTGCTTTCCTCTGTTTGTTAGAGGTCTAGTCAACACAAACAAAGGGGCGGTCACTCCCTGTCACACAAAATACACAGACAAACCAGACTGGGAATATGGTGCTTCCATTACCCTTGCGATATTGTGGGATTGAGATCTTCTCTCCTCACAGACATGTCCTGTGTGTTCTTCACTGAGGAACAAAAGTGGGCTTTTGCACCCCTGACCAGACACCTGTCATTAGGAGGCTGAGCAGTGCTGTGTGTGCTCTGACCCTGCTCCTCTGCACTATCTCCTTTGCCTCCAGCTGACTGAGCAGGTTGCTCTTGGAGAATTTCTCCTTAGCCTATCATGGGTTTTGGCTGCCTACTACATTTGCTTTCCATCATGACTTTCAGAACAGCAAGTGTAAGTTTACCCTGGCAGGATCAATGTTTATTATCATCTGGACTCCTTGCAGAGAGCTGAAGGGCTGGAAAGATGCTCTGGAAAGTATTGCTCTTCTCTCTGTGTCGTCACTTGCACAGCATCACCTGGGAGAATATTAATAGGAGATTTTTCATGCAATACAGTGAGGGGAAAGAGGTTTTTTCAAGACTGACATTTATCTGACATCTTTCCCTATCCCTGAAAGTGCTTAGTTTGGCTGCCCTTTGTTCATGGAAGTAAGCTTGTACTGCCAGACACTGTAGTAACTACTGCTCTAGTATTCAGTTTACATACGTTATGATTTTGTTAGTTGAAGATCCACCCTGGGCTGAGCTGCAGCAAAGCTGTTAAAATCTCCATGAATCCTCAGAGTCCTGCTAGTTTTGACTTGCCACTGCTACAGCTGCCAAGAGTTCAAAGGAATTGTCAGAGCTTCAGAGATGCTGGCTCTAGCTGACCTGAGCAGGACCCACAATTTTCTAACCAACACAGCTGCATTTTGTAACAGTAACCATTTCCAGAGAGGTTGCAGAACTCGGATAATTACCCTGAAAGAAATAAGACAATATTCTTTGATGAGAAGATTACTTAGAGAATTTGATTGTATAATGAAGCTGTTGCTTTGAAAGGTACTTTCTATTGTTCAAAATCTGAAAATCTCTAGCAAAAAGTGTCACTTGTTTTGACAGCCGACTTAAAAAATTCTCTGTTTATTACATTAACTGCAGCATTTTAACTGTCAAACTGTGAAAGAATGTTCTATAGTTTAAAAAACAGAATAGAGCTCAGGGAAATTTTTGGCAGGCTCTTGTTGCTATTGGGTTTTTTTTTTTCCTTTGGAAACACATATACTGAATGTGAAAATAGCTTTTTGTGAAGTCACAAACACAGCTCTCTGCTCCTTATAATGGCTGGAGCACAGGTGCAGACCTTGCACAAGCCCCTGGAAAAATTATTGTGGAATTAACACAACTCTTTGTTACGAGTGTTTCCACCCTTCAGTAAGAAAATACATCCTGATGGTAAACTCTAATTAAATATTATGCTATAATACAAAGTTAAACACAATAATAACAGGAGTCTTTAAAGGAAGAATGATATTCATCAGACAACAGTATTTAACTCAGATGATGTTATGGATTGTATTCTTTTTTTAATGCCCTAGCCTACAGTAAGTTAGCAGTGTGACTAAAATAATAAACATGTGTTATATATTCTTGGTGACTTCACTCAGCACATTTTTTCTCAGTACAGAATGTTTGATTCTACATGTGATCATAGTCAAATTTTAGTGCCATTTGCAGAAGTAAATGCAATGGGATGCTAGAGAGAGGAAGTGAAAACAAATTAAAATATGTTAAACATGACAAAATACATATATAACAATTTAGTTAGTGCTAAGAACATATATTCTTAAGCAAGATATATTTATTCTCTGGTTCTTAAATTTTTTTGTTTAGATGTTCCACCCAGCTGTTAGTAGTAAGAACCACACTGGATTTCTCCATAAAGACAGTATTAACTTCCATAATCTTTGGAGTTTCCCACCAATGAAATTTCATAAACCAAGTTTTGTTCCTAGGACAGGAAATACAGATTATCAGTTCACTGATGGTTATGGATATTATGTGTGGTAAATGGTATTTATGGAGTTAATCAAGGCACACTGATTCAAGTACAGAGATACATAATAAACTTCCATGCTAGAGTAAGTCAACGTGCATTCACTTTCACACACAGGTAGTGGATAAAATTATTCATGTCTCCTATTTATTCTTTATGGTACTTGAAAACAAAATTTGTACTCTGGAAATACATGCTTATTTGATGCTTAGTCACAGTGTTACAGGGTCTCTGATCTTTTCCTGTATTCTTATTATCCAAGAATTTTCCGGTTAGCTGTATAATAAAAATAATCAATGATATTGCATGTACATGCCTGACTTATCAATGGCGAAGTTCTATATTATTGTCAACATCCTAGTCACAGAGAAGCTCAATGTCTCTGACCTTGATAAATTCTCCAAACACTGAACAGTTTTTATTGATCACTTAATATCACCTGAGTTCTGTCCATTAATGTATACCCTCGTTCCCTACCTATTCCATTTATTATCCTCTCTATAACCAGCTATTGCTGTTAGAATGTGTCCCCTGCAGAAACTAGGTCTTTTCACAGCAGGATCCTACAAATCAACATCAGTGGGTCACCACACAGGTTTTAAAGACACAGTGATGTCTAATGTCTCTCCACGTGACATCTGCAGGAGCAGAAGTAAAGACTAGGTACTGATATCTGCTACAGATTGCCAGTCCTCCCAGTGTGCTAACATAGGAGGCAAATGGACATACTGAAAGATGAGTGTACCCTTTTGTTTTGATCTGATGTAGTTAGGCATCATCCTTTTATGTTTCAATTTCATATAGAAATTTGTTGATTTGTTACAGTATGTTTTCCATTTTCCAAGAAATGCTGGTTTTACAAGCAGGTAATAAAATTAAAGTTGTTACTGCCCTATTATTTTTTAAAATCCTTACCTTTTGTTTCTTAAATCTCCAGTGAAAGGTAGCTAGTACTGGCTTAGTTTTATGCTATACTTAATTAAGCTGCCCCTTGAAATTATAAGGCTGACACTAGGAGGGTCAGCCTTATAATTTCAAGCCAGAATTAGAAATAGTAAAGAGTATTTTGAGTCACTAGAGGGCATAGCAGTACCAAACTAGTTTCTGTTTTTCCATTAAAAGTTTATTCCATTAAGTAAGAGAAAAGAGTAATTTTATCCAAAACATTTTTTGTCTAAATTGATCTTTAATCTGGGTATTAATACATGCATGTCGTTGGTAAATGAAAAACAGATGAAAAATATAGCTTGCTTAGCAGAGATGTCAGTTGTCCTTATGTTTTCTATGACTTCTTCAGTGCTTCTTTCATCCAAAAGAAGTCTTCATCGAGTTTCTTTTGTAAAAAGATGCAATATAACTCCAGAGTGACATGGCTGGGTACTCCCTGTACCTCACACATGATGTAGACAGACTGTTGAACCAGGCGGTGATTAGGCAGAAAACCTATAGAGCATAATATTTCTTCATGTGGCTTTCCTGATCCTCTAGATGAGAGTCTCCTGTAATACTGACATTTCAGGAGGAAAACTTCTATCAGGAGGGTTCGTTGTAACCTTTGTTTTAGGGCTGTCCAAAGATTCACTTGTGCTGTTAACTCTTTTGACATCATGCATTGCAGACAGCAGGGTTTGGAACTGTGCGTGTTCTTAATGGCAGAGCATATAAACCTTCTCCTTTGGAACTCCTGCCCCCAACTGGACTTCTGTACCCCATTTCCTCACGTCTTAAATTCCTCCTCTCTCCCTTCCTATGACTAGGTGGCTCTTTTCTTCTGTTCTTGGCCCACTGAATTAATTACCTTATTCTGCTTTTCAGAAATCTAAACCATAATTTTTGAAAGGACTTAGTCCTATAAAAATTACTTGGCATAATGCTTTAAAGGATTATGTAACTCCAATATGTGGTCTGAAATTATATCACAGGAGAATTTGTCCTTTTAGAAAATGAAGTTGTATTAGATACTGTAACTAAAGAGAAGCTTGTGAGTGGGAAAAATATTGGGATCTGCTCACAAGGTCCTACAACTCCTTCTCTTGGGTACTGTTTGTTAGATCCTCCAAAGCATGTCCACTACACTGCAGTCCCCTCAGTATTTGTGTCCTTCTTAAGCAATCAGAAAATTTTGTGGTGCATAGGCTACAGAAATGCTACTATTTTGTCATGGTGGCAGCCCTGTTACTCCTTGCTTGTCCTGTAGGAGAATTATTCCTTCATCAATGCCTGCTCTTTAGTAATGGCGGCTTCTTGTATTTTTCAGTGAGAGAAACTGAAACTACTGAATGGTTCCTATTTACCTTTGTGGCTACACAACAGCACTCAGCATTAACTGTATAGGAGCTGTTTGCTGTACTCCAGGATGCACTGCTGCCTCTCCAATTTGTTCAGCAGAAATTCACACACTCCTTTACAAACCACTACTACTGTCTGTTTGCTACAACTAATTAATGCTGCATGTGAATAATAGTGCGTGTCCCACACCCAGGAGTTCTTTTGAAAGGAACAAATTTTTATGTACCATTTCTGATTTATGTGACCATTTTACATATAGAACACTTGATTTAATCAGGAAAGCTGCCTAATCAGGATCTCCCTAAGGTGGTTGCCATGGCTGCTGCTTGGTGTCATTTGGGTAGCATTCACAGAGCTTCCATCCTTTGTGTGTTTCAGTCCTTCACCCAGAAACATCACTGAGGCTCCATTTAGTGAGGATGTACCCTTCAGTAGACAGTACAGCAGCATTTTGTGTTGTTCTGTCCTTCTCTGAAGCATTTATTTTGGACATTTATTGCACTTTGTTATTCCTTTTATCTTCTCTCTGTAGGCCCGGCCAGAGAACTGTAGATGACTTAGAATTTATATATGAAGAACTTCTCCACATTAAGGCCTTATCTCATCTTTCTACCACAGTAAGTAATTTTAAAAGTTATAATTCATCACCAAAGGAAAGGCTGAATTTTTACTTCTGGTGTTTTTTAGAGTTGGAGAGCCCATAACCATTTCCATTTATACTTCCCATGCAAAGAAGTTATTCAATCTGTGAGGAACACTCAAGCACTGTGTAGTGTAGATTCTCTTTTGGATATCAGATATAATTCTCTTCATATATTTCTGCACAGCCGCTAAGTCACTCACTTAGCACAGGTGCTGCTGTCTGCATCCATATCCGAGTTTAAATGAAGATGTATGCAATCTGACTGGACACCCAGGATTGTGGTGCTACTGAATTTTGCAGAATTGATTTCTCATCTGTAAGGAGTCTTGGCTTGAACCAGTTAGGAGGAGGAATTACACTGTGCAGAAAGGTGCACCTGGCGGTTCTTGGTGGTTCGAGTTTGGTCACTGAGTGAAGGAAAGCTCATCAGATCAGACACTCTCTCTGGGTGGTCAAGAACAGTGCAGAGAACCACAAATAAAGGAGATGGAGGAGAGAATGCGTCTTTGTAAAGTCTCACCGTTGTTGACACACTGTGTAGGTAACTAAAACAAGATAAATAACGCTTCTGGTCTCAGCAGCATGTGGATGCTTTCACAAAAAGGAAGCCAGTCAGAAAGTAGATCTGTGTTTGACAGTAGCTTCTTTGGAAGCACTTGATATTTTCAGTAATTCTCAGTTAACTTGGGCAGGTGCAGCTAATTATGAAGCTGCATTACAGAAAGACAGTACTTCATGCAAGTATGTAACACCTGAGCAGTGTTTTTAAAAAAAAATAGGCATCCAGAGTTTGTATCTGAATTACAAAGGTGTTAAGGAAACTTTCCAGTTTGACTGTTCATGAGACTGGCAATCACACTCCCAACACCAGAGACTTTCACTGCTGGGACCGAAGCCCCTTCACAGCGGGCAGCTCCAGTGAACCTTTCTGGTTCAACCCCAGGTTTCCCAGTGGAGTCACAGATGTCTCATTCCATAAAGCAGTTTATTCACAGTGCAGTAATACAGAAACAGCTTGAGCTGGTGCCTCTGAGGAGGGAACCCCAACAAAGGGGGTTTTATCCCCTCACAGTCCAAGCCATGTAAGTCTTGCTCTTCCTCCCGTGTGCTCCACTCCTGCTTTTTCTCTCAGTATCCATTTACCTGGCTGGCACCACCAGTTTTCATGACCTTTGCTATGCAAAGGGTGGCAGTTCACAGCCTCTTGTCTCAGGCTCCCACCCAGAGCTCAATCTGCATCTCAGTCTGCATCACTTACTGCAGCTTGCAAACCTGCACCAGATGTGTTCCTCAACATGGGAACAGCCATCCAAAATCCTTAAGCATTCCTGAGATGTAGGGAAAAAAGTATTTAAAGACTGATGTAAGATCCAGAAATGACCATTTAAAGGTTAAACAAAAGACAGATACTGATAGGGAGTGGAGAACGCTCTCGATACTGCATTTATAACCCTGAACAAAAAAATCCGAACTACTAAATATTTTCAGCTCTGAAGAAATTCAGACTTGAAGTCAGAATCCACAGGAAGTAGCATATAGAACAAGTGGAGTAAATGATACAAGCTGCAAGAAATACTTGGCATTTTGAATTACAGTTGATTCCATGTTTTAGTAAGAATCTGGAAATGCCATCCTATTACACGTGCATCATGAACTAAAGCAGAGGACAGAAACCATAACTAGTCTTCAGAGGAACAACAGACAGTTGGGCTATGTGACTTCCTCTCAGCAGGAGGAATAAGATACTTATAAAAACTATAATTTCTCTCTCTTTATTTTAAGGTAAAGCGAGAATTAGCAGGTGTCCTCATTTTTGAGTCACATCCCAAAGCAGGAACGGTCTGTAAGTAAATGGAGTCCTATCAGAACTTCTTTTTCATCTGTGGCATGAACATTTAAATTCTTAATGTTTAAATGACAAGAGCAAAACTTGGATGCACTCTTCAAACTTGATTGGCACTTACTGTTTAAAACCTAGGGTAGTAGTTGTTGGCTTAGTCTGTTGCCAAGTGCAGGGACAGTACCAAAACTAATTCTATATCTTGGTTGAATGTATATATCCCTTACAATTTGGGTGTGTTTTTATCTAGAATTTTTGGTTGGACTAGTCTCTGTTTAAAGTGTATTTTAATATTATCCTATATTAAAAAAACCTTGCTGTACAAAGTGAAGGATTTAAAATGTAAGATTACTCAGACCTATAATACTGAGAAGCTTTATCAAATGAATGTCAAATTCAGAGTTGCTTTTAAAATCATAGTATGCCCTTTTACAAGGTAGATATTAATATGACTGTAGAGTTACCTTGAACTTTACTGAGTGCAGAATCTGGCCCATTTATATTTTGAATAACTATATTCTCATCATAAAATCTTTTCTCTCTCTTGTAGTATTTAATCAGGGAGAAGAAGGTACTTCTTGGTACATTATCCTAAAGGGATCAGTAAACGTAGTCATTTATGGCAAGGTATTTTTTTCAGAAACTATTTCATATGATTGTTATTATTGAAATTGTAAGAGTAAACTTTGAAGGAATACAGTTTAATTTAGAGCAAAATTGCTTTGTCTGACAAAACAAACAGAATGTAATTTTATTAAGAAATGATCCAGTGGTTTCACTGATTATACTTCCAATTGATTGCTCTATAATTTTGGGGTATATTACACGGTTTCTGAATATAATCCATCAGAGTTACATCAGTTCTTTAGGACAAAGCAATTTGCTGGAATTTGGTGAATTGCCAGACTTCTGTCTCATGGAGGTTTTTGCCCTGTCCCTTTACTGCGATATTGTCATGCATTTGTGTGACTAACTTTTCTCATATGTGTCAGGCATGTCTGACAGAAGTACTGCTTTGTGGCTAGTGGTTCTCAGGTTGGATGAACTCTTCCAAATTTATGCCAGCTCTTCATTTTACTTAAATTGTAGACCAGAAAGCATCTCTACTAAATTCTTGCTTACGAGAAAGATTTTTCAAAGCAAAAAAAATAGGATTTTGCTACACAGAAATCCCTTGTGTCTTTAAAAATCCTTACTTTCCTATTGATTTTTCGTTTGGTGACTGTGAATCCTCCATTTGAATGCCAAGCATTTCACCAAAATCTAGCACAGGGCCTAGGTGCACAGTCTGTTTTTAAGTAACCCATATTTACCTATATTTTTTGCATCACTGGGTGGGCCAGATTCTCTGTTACTATAAATTGGAGCAAGTGGAGCACTGCTGATGTACACCAGCTGAGGATGTGTTGTTATATGTTACTTCTGCAAACTTGATTTTATTTTTTATGGCCTCTATAAATAAAAAACAAAACACTTAACAACTTTCTGTCTTGAGCAGGACTGGAAGAGTCCTTCAAGCTGAATGTAATTTCAGAGAACAAGCCAATTCTTTTCTATTCTTGCCTTTCTTTAGTAATAGTAATAACCAGCTATCAAGTATTGTTTCCTAGTATTATTCTGGCTGTTGATTTCCTGCCAAATAGATTTGTTTTGGTATTTGATTGTGAAGTCCAGTGTTTGTACGAGGACTTTCAATAGAATCCAGAGTAATGATGGGTTTCTGCATGTAAATGTTTTGCTCTGTGCAGGGTGTGGTATGTACTCTACACGAAGGAGATGATTTTGGCAAGTTAGCGCTTGTGAATGATGCTCCCAGAGCAGCATCCATTGTACTGCGTGAAGACAACTGCCACTTCTTGAGAGTAGACAAGGAGGACTTCAACAGGATCCTTAGGGTAAGAGCTGCCCCAACAGCCTGATATCAGAACTTGCAAATTTTTTTAGAGCCTGTCTTATTTCTGTGAATATATTGATGTTGATAACCTTGTTTGAAGTATCCCTAATAATGGAACAGAGATGTAACAGTCTAGAAGATCAAGTAAAGAATATATTCATTGCCTGTCCTCATTTTCTGTTCCTAGCTCTGACATGAAAATGGGACCAAATGGAGTCTTCCGTCTCTCATATTTCTGTGATCTAGAGTTCGCCCTGCTCAGTTTTTCCTTATGCTGCCCAGGATTTCTGGGTGATATTCCATCCAAATATTGAAAAAAAACAAGATCACCCGTTCTCCCACACAGGTCATGTCAGGTACCTTAATCTCAATGAATTTAAGGCAGAATCAGTTGGCAAATTGAGTAAGTTACAGATAAATACACAGATGTCTTTATCAGAGAACTCTAGGAAGATATTCCCAGACTAATTTTACAGTTGTTCACTTTGGGGCGAATGTGTTCCGAAGTCCAATGTAATTCAGTAAATACAAGCTCTTTTGTGTCCATTCATAGGATAGCAAGTCAAAACTAATGTCATCCTGCATTTGAACCTATATATGCCCGATATTGCAGCAATAAAACCAGTCCAGACAGAGTACTCCACTGGAAAAATTACATAAGACTGTGATTACTGTACAAAAGGGAACAAGGATCCCATTGGCAGTAAGGCTTGGTTGGCCATGGAGAATTACAACTGATTCAGCTTTGGTCAATACTTCAGAGAAGATCCAAGTCCATGGTCTTACTGATTTTTACCTGTGTTTTTTGAATACACATTATATTTAATTTTTTTTCTTTTTCTACTATGACCTGGTAATAGAAAATGAACAGTTTACTGAGCTAAAATTTACTGTTCTTACATGCTATTTTCTCTGGTTTTTTTAAGCGAAAAGTCAGATTGTAGGTAATAATATTCGTATATAAAACTGGGGATAGAGATTATATTACATTTGGAAGGTTGTGGGGAGACTCTGTTTTTTAGAAAACTTGTTTTTTATTTCACACAGATGGAGATTTTTCACATCATTCTTGCTCTAGTCCCTCCCACAATTGTCTGCCTCCTCCCCCAATGCCAGTGCTTCCTTCTTCATCCTGTATATGAGGAAAACAGAATAAAGACAGATAAATACAGGGGGAAAGAACCAACAGCAGTCTTCATGTTTGAAAGTCATGCACTTTGCCAGAGTAACTAATCAGCCAAATCAACTGCAGTTACATTATTAAAAGTACCTTGTCTTGCAGGATGTGGAAGCAAATACAGTAAGACTCAAGGAACATGACCAAGATGTCTTGGTGTTGGAGAAGATCCCAGCAGGAAACAGAATTTCTAATCAAGGAAATTCACAGCTGCAGCACAAGTATGTTTTCATTCAATAGTGCAAGTGTCAGACAATTATTAACCTTTTAAATGGTGTTATTATCCAAACAATAGCATATTCCCTTTCTGTCTTAGAATGCAGTGCATATAAAGTTTTCTTTTTTTTTAATCATCGGTTGATCACATGCTCCATACTGGATAATGTATCCATTTCTTGCAGCACACCAGCTCTATGTCTTTACACAGTAATTCTCTGAAGATCTCACTGTAAATACTTACCTCGTGTAATAATTTCTAAGTAGTCTAGGCAGAGAGAATGATGAAACCCTACTAAGCTGAACTACTGTGTAAAAGATGTGAGGAAAATACACTGTTTTATTGTTAAGTACAGATATTTTTAGTTTGGATTTTGAGCTCTGGATTCTAATAAGAGTTTGCTAGGTACAATTTGTACACAAAACAAAGATCTCATGCAATGAAAGTTGCAGAGCTTATCTTACACAACAGGTTAGCACTGTAATAACAGTATTCACTACATTTTCCTTACTTTCTTACTGAAAGGGAAAAAGTACAATTCTGTTTGGATACTACTGTGATAAGAGTAGAGTGAGGCTATTACCATTTCAAATGTTGGTAAAACCCCTAAAGGCTTTGTAAATGCATTATTTGCAAATGGATGCACACTTTTCTTCAGAAACGTTCAAAGAACTTCAACAAAATAAGCAACAAGAAGTTTTGAATCCTTCTCCCTGAACCTTACTTTTTCTCAAAGAAAGAGCCAATTTACTGTGAGATTTTTTGGGTACACTTTTTATATCTTCTGGGATTTCATATACCTATTTTATCTGCATAACTGAATGCAAAGATTTATAAAGATCAGTGAAAGTTGAATAAACCATTCCTTGCATTTTATATACACATTTCACATATTTTGGAAACTGCCATTTCATCTTTCACTTGATCTGTTAGAAAAGCAATCTATTGTACTAGGAAAACAACTACTCTTATACAAGTTTGTCTAAATGAGGGGAACCTGACTGTAGCCAGTGGATTTGCATCAGCAGCTGCAGTACACAGCAACTTGGTCTTGGGTCTGAGGCATTCTTCATGGTTCCAAAAGTGAAAGTTTCATTTCAACATATTTGAAACACTACCTTCCTTGCAAACTCTTTGCACCAGCATTATTTGTATTATTTAACAGTTTATTCTTGAGACTTTGATAAAAATAGCCAGAAAAATTTATGGTAGATTGTTAAGTTAGACTGTATTTTAGGTCTTAAATTTCAGGAATATTTTCAGGTAAAGCTCAGAATTTCACTTCTGTAAATATTTTATTCATTTGGTCAGCTTTTGGGGGCTATCAATGTGTCACCAAGGGAGCTTTTGCTGTTAACAATGACAAATAGACATAATCTACTCAAAAGAGGAAGTTACCTTGAAAGTTCACTGTCTGCTTTTCACCAGTCAGATTACTTTGTTAATAGTGTGTTGGCAGTGTCTTTTTGTTTAAAGTGTTTCGAAATGAATTCACTGGGTTTGAAGATGACATTTCTTTTGTTTCTTTTCTTAGTAAATAGAGTAAGTGCCTGCATTTATGCAGAGTCCAAATCAAAGTTCCTGATGTTTTTTGGTTTCCAGATGTCTTATTGGAATGTGTTAGTTGAGTGTTTAGTGCTTTTGAAAATCACTGTGCCCAAAACAGAGGCCTAACAGGGACCTCTTCTCAGGAAGAAACTAATTTTCTTCATCTCAGTCTTGGGGAAAACTTCACTTTGGCAGCAGATTCTCTCAGTTACTGTTCGGATTCCACCGCTTCCTCTATGGAGACGTAGCTCCTACATAGCTCCCCGAGCCATGCTTTCAAAGAGTGACAGTTTCACTTCGAAGGACTAGCTCTGAAGTTATCACTCCCAAGATCTAACTCTTTATGGGTGATCACACTCATGCAGGATGAATTCGGCAGCCCTGCAAGTCACTTCACTGTTCATTTTCACTTTCATATTCAGAGTACTGCAACCTGTGATTTCTCTGCTTCACTCACTTAGATACTTGGTTAGTATCTCTGTGAGAATGTGCACTGGCTTAACAAGTGTTTGTGTTCTTGGGACATCAATACAGTTTTTCCAAAGGGATTGGCAAGTAAAAGAACTGTGACGGTCAGTGCTCAAAGTGAGGAGGAGCTCCCAGGAGCTCAGCTCCACCACTTATTTCTCAGCAGGAGCAGAGTATCTTCACTTCTCAGGGTTTTTTCTTTCTTTTTTTTTTTTTTAAGTTTCATACTTTATCAGTTGAATTCCAAAAAAAAAAAAAAGAAAAAGAAAAAAATGCAAAGATTGAAAGAATGTAGGGAAAGATAAAAAATATCTGATCTGCAAGAAAAGAAACAAAAAAAGATGACAGGACAAGTTTTGCAATATCATATGATATTCTGCTAGTACTTAAAATCTTGCCAGTGTTTTTGCATGAAGCAAAAAACCCTGGATATTGCACTAGTTCTCTCACCTCCCTAAATTAACTCCAGGAAATGGTACAATCCTAAGTTTATCCACTTGAAACACTTACATACTTTCTTACTTCAGCTATGTAAGGCATTGCACAAATTTGAAGATACAGTGGGCTATTTCATTATCTGCCCCCACCTTCTCAGACCAACCCCTGTCAGTGATGCTGAAGGAAGCTATTTCCTTGCTCTGGCACTAATACACAGCAGTTCTTATTTCATGCTCATAGAAGGTCTTTGCTATTTATTCTCAATGGAGGAGCATTTCTGCTTGCACTTCCCCAAGGTTGCACCAGTGCAGCTCTGTGATTGTGGTATAATTGTGGTGGTGTTATACTGGAGTACTTGTGCAAGGAGGGGGCTGTCATCTCACACTCCCTGGCCAGGGTGGAGAATGTTATTGCTACTATTTTACAGGGGAGAAGCCAACAATGTTGTGAGTGGTTTTGTCCTAAGCACACAGAGATTCTGGTCGGAGCAGGTATTCGTACTCTGGTGCTTGGCATTCCTGGTCTTCTTGCTCACAGTTATTTCTTGATTAGCTGTTTTGCCCATGAGATGCTAACTTCTTCTTTCCCTCCCTCAGGTATATTGTGATGTCAGGAACCCCAGAGAAAATTTTAGAGCACTTTCTAGAAACTATGAGGCTTGAAGCAACTTTAAATGAAGCAACAGGTATCAAAAGCTATTTTATTATTACTGCATAAGATGGGCTTGCTGGGGGAACACTGCAATGTGATGCTTTGAAAAGCACCTGGTGGTAGTTTTTCTGAGAGAACTATCAACTACTCTGAAACAATCCCAAGAAAACCTAGGAAATCTGGAATTAAAGATAACAATCCACTCCTCCAAGCCTGCTCTATCATATTTGTACTTTAAGGACATAATAGAACAGCAAAATCCTCCGAGGTGCCAGACCACTAGTTATGACTTTAATTAGGCACAACTATAAGGCCAGGATAGAGCACACAATAATAATAGTACTCATACTTTTTGTTCTGGATATCACTTAATCCTGTGAATTAGCTTGGTACCTCCAGACGTTGCATTATATGTTCTGAAATCTTCATATCACATTTAAGGTATCACAATTTAAATTCCTTGTTTCTGATACTTTCCCATTTGCAGGGAAAGAAAAATTGTTACTAAAAGGAGAAGAACTCAGCACACCATGGGCTGAGTGCCAAGAATGCAGGTTGCAGCATCTGCACTTAATAGGTGGCTTTTCATTAGTGTAAAGACAACAGAGAATTTACATCTAGAGATATAGATATTTGCTGACTTACTATTAGTAAGTATTGTAATTTCTAAAATGACACAAAAAATCCTCATAATTTTCATAAAGTAATGCAGAGAGTTGTGTATTACGCTACATAATACTGCTTTTCCAAGTTATTTTTACATTGCAGAAGTATATATTCAAAGATGTTCTTAAATCCAGTTAATCTGTTATTGACCTCATAGTATAGGAGAAACCTGTACAGTGGTCCCTGAATGGTGGAATAATTGAAAAATTACAGAAATCTTTTTAAAGTGTGTGTTTTAACTATTTCAAAGACAAAAAAAATTTCCTTTTTATTTTTATTAGGATGTTATATTCATCTTTATTAGGATTACCATCAGTATTAATCTTTAAGCTTGCAGCTTTTTTATCACAAGTTTATTATGCACAGTATGCACATAGTATACATTTTTCTAAAGCAAATAATTTTTAAAATATTTTAAAACTTTTCACCAAAACATTTCATTACAAGATTACACCTATATCCTAATGCAATACAAAGTGTCACAGTTCACAGTATTATTTTTAGTATGTAGCGTCTCAGAGTGCTGGAAAATTGAATTATTGGTTTATGCATTCCTTTAATTTAAGAATATGTAAAAACCAGTTTGCTCTGGATATTACACAAAGAAAAAGTGAGAGAAAACTCATCCTTCCAGATGTGAATTTTGTCAACTGAGAGATATTTTCTTATATGAATTATAGGAGTGGAAGCAGTGATGTAATATTATATTACACAGTTATCTCACCATATTTTTTCTGCCATCCCTTACTTACAGTGTTTATAAATGTTTCTGTTATCTCAAAAGCTGCACTGTAGAAATTATACCCTGGAGTATTGTGTTTATTGTTTCTCAGTGATTCCATATAAGCCTGCCAAACTTATTCTGGCCTCTGCAGCCAGGCTTTATAAATCCTTGTTGTTGTCACAAATACAGAGATAAGGCAAACTGGGATTTACACCAGTGCTACCACAGATCATTTTAATAGAAAAAAACAGCTTGCTGTTTTTTGCCAGAGAAAATGTCAGTCATATTGTTTATGTATGTTTTAATGTAAGTGTAGTGGCTGTGATACCTTTGAATCAAAAATAAACCCAGAAATTTGACTATCCATTTACTTCTTTTAAGCATTCTTCTTGTTGGTAGGAAATCAGCTAAGAATTAAATTATTTGCCTTCTCCTGTGTAGTATACACTAAATCTGCTGTCTGATATTGTATTTCCTAAAGCCAAACGTAGCAGCTCTGTTTAGGTACCCAGGTGTGGCAGGCCTGATTCTTTTTTGCACAAAACTTACACTTGTACAGAAGTATATCCAAATATTTCACTTAAGCAGAGACTGGGGTTTTTTTGGTATGCCAAATTTCTCTTTGACATGGGCAAATGCCTGTTAATGTAAGTGCAATAAAATTAAAGACTAAAAGCTTAATATTTCAGCTCATATTTGTCCATAACCCATTTTTAAACTTAATGCCTACAAAAAAAGTGCAAATAGACCCCTTTATTATCTGCAAAGGGCTTATAAGATATTTTAGCTGAAAAAAACCTCATCCCTGTGTTCCCCAAGCTGTTTGCAAAGGCTTAATTCACTGTTTTCTTTCTTCTCTTTTCACAGATTCTGTTTTAAATGATTTTATTATGATGCACTGTGTTTTTATGCCAAATAGTCAGCTCTGCCCAGCCTTGATGGCACAATATCCTTTTGTAAGGGAAAAGTTGTCTTTTTAGCTGCTATCCCTATCGGTGATGAGATTGAGCTTCTCTCTCTCTCAAGAAGTACATCACACTCCATGTAGGCTGTGGGTTCTCAGTGTCAGACTAACAGCTGTCCATAGCTCAACAACTCTGAAAGGAATAGTGTATATCCATGATGAGATATGGTCCCAGACCATGAAAACCGTAACGTTCCTCTGCTCATTCCTATTCCAAGGAAAATAAATGTACTGTCCCTCCACCATATAAATGAAATTACATAAAAGTTTGGGTTACCCTTCCTGTATCCTTCCTGTCTTTCTTGGTTTTTGCTGAACTAGAGCATCTACATTTTAGCTGGGGTAGCTATGTCTTGGTGATTTCAGTGGCCCACTTTATGAATTACAGGCTGCAAACTGCCTCAAGCAAAAGGTTGCTTAAACTCATAGAATAATGGGTAAGTAGTTCCTAGGTGCTGTCACATAATACTTATGAATAAAAATAGTGATAATCTATAAGAATAGCCTATGGCAAATGCAAACAAACTGTGAAAAACTTCAATGGCATGTGAATACTAGGAGATTAAATCTTTCAGTGGAGAGCATCAAGAGCTGGGGTGATTCTCGTACTGTCTGCATGTTTTACAGGAGTCTGTGAAATGTCCATCTGTCAATTACTGCCAGGTTATTTAGTTTGGAGAGCTGTTGGGCACTGAGAGTTTTCCTTGTGCACAGTGACTTGAAGCTATCAAGTGACTGGAGCATTAAATAAACATATAATATTTTGTGTTTTATAGAATTCTGACAGGGGCATAATAACTTCAATTCCCTATTTATTTGTTTAGAATCACATTGGTGTGAAAGTGTACTTTCCTTGAAGCTCAGCAGTGCGAGTGACATCTGGGAAAGCTCACCCCCTGAAACCACAAAATAGAGCATCGTGTCCTTGTCTGGCAAGCTTGAGAATCCATTTGTGTTCCTCCTAGCAGGAACAGTAATTGTTTTTAAAACCTTTGGACCCATGAAACTGGTCTGCAGAAAATTGTTTGTATACTTGAAACACATTTTCCAAGATCACATTGTTTTGGATATCAAAGGTATTATAAAATGCTGTTGCTGACAGCTTTGAGAGGGGAAGAAAGGGCAGCACTTTTAATGGTTTTGGGGTTTTTTTCCGTGATTTATCTAGTCATATTTTTCAGTCAGTCCATTTGATATTCAGACTTGTCTAGCCTCAATTATAATAGTATACATCTGATATCCAATAACTGGGAAAATCAGACCCGTAAGAAAAATATACCTTATTGTTTATAGGGGAAAAGTGTTTCTGAAAATCAAAGTGATAGTGACACTTAAAGATAAATATTCATTTGTGATGAAATCTATTCTGGAGAGGAGGCCAAGACCATGGTCTTAAGTGGATCATGGCAGGCATCGTGCTAATTCTTTTCAAAGAGGAGGAGAGCTGGAAGTCACTGGCATCCTGCTGCTTTAGTGTCAGCTTTTCCTAGAGCCGAATTATTGTTTATTTGGTCTGTTCTGAATATGGAAAAACTAACTGTGCTTTGTTGATTGTACCATTGAAATTTATTGTTCGAGTTGAAAGGTTCCTAACAAAGCTCATCTTTTTTGAGCAAAATCACTCCACCAAAATGTTTGCTGGTGCTATGAGACTAAGGAGAGATGAATTACGCTCAATGAGGAAATTAAAACAGAAAAAGAAGGAGAAGAAAGGAGATTTGTTTGGCAACTTTTTGCTTCAGCTCCCAATTTTGAATCAAAACAGGTCTATTTTCTTACACTCACAATAGCTGGAAGCATGCAACTGTGAGTAGAGCTACACCACTGTAGTGCTTTCAAGCACAGTACAGGGTATGAACTATTTGGAGTTTCACTTCCTTTATAGCAGCATTTTGTTGTCTGTAAGTTATTTTAATCCTGAAAGGAATGGACAGGTGCACCATTTTGTCTTAGCATATGTTGGAGATAATTAGAAATATATATATATTGAACTCTAAACGTGTTGGTGTTGATAAATATTTTGCAATTATCTGACACTTATTGCAAGTATACATGATAGTTTATTTCTGATTGCAGTCTCCAGTGAAGCTGCATCCTGTATGTCCCATAAAAATGTGACAACCCTTCATTGACTTTCCCCATGATAATGTTAATAAAAATCAATATAAATGAGCAGTAAAAATACAGAAAAATACCAGTGCCTGTGGTGAGTCAGTTAATAAGAAAGTAAAAATACATTAAATAATTATAGCATTTGAAAGGTAAATATGGCATGAGAAAAATGACTCAGTAGAATATTAAACTTGCTCCCCGGGGCATTAGAGCACATAACTTACAACATATTATTTACTTCTTAGGACCTTTTGACTTACTGCCATAATTGTACTGATATGTTCAGTTCTCTAGTCATTTTAAACCTTTTCAAATGAAAGTAAAATGCAGATTTCTGAAAGTTTGCCAGTCAAATGAGTGCCCCAGTAACTCTGGTAGCATGTCAAATCCTTCCAGGCGTTTTGGGCAGCAGGATCATTTGGAAAGTGTGAGTTAATACATACTTTTCCTCATTATATTTTATTAGTAGCATTTGTTAGATAAATGCTTCTAAATGAAAAGGTTAAAATAAATATCTTACATAATTTGGATTCTTCGTTAATATTTTTATTTTCTAATTAATATTTCAAAATATTTTGTTAGAGCAACTGAAGGTGCACCTTGAAAGCATGCTGGACTTTGCTGTGAATGAGTGTCAGTATTTTATGTGTTTCTGTGTAATCGGGAATAGTGTTATTCATAAGAATCCAGAATCAGAATTCCGATATCTGGGAAGCCAAGTTGAAGATGCAGTTGCACTCATTCTGTGCTTACTTCACATTCAGCTATCAGTTTATCAGGAAACAGTTTAAATATATATTGTTATCCTCTGATCAGTGAGAAGTAGACACAAATTGTCATATCCTGTTTCTGCTAGGGATTCTTCATTTTCACAGAGGTTAAAGGCTCAAATTATCTCAGTTTATTGCCCATTGTGCCTTTATTTTTTCTTGGTTTCTTCTTTCAATAAATGTTACTTTTGGCCTTTTAGCTATTTGCCTATTTTTGTAATGTTGATACTTTATCATTAAAAAGGTCATTGAAATGTTTCCCCTTTTTTCTTATTGTTCATCACAAAATAACTTTCCCAAAATATTGTGTCCTAAATACGCTTTATTTGATGTAGTAGAAACATCTAATTTCCTCATAACAATGAGGCTACTACAGAAATTATTATTTTCCCTTATGTCTCTATAGTCAGTTTTGCTTGTAAACTTCCAGGTCCCTCTTCCATAATGGGACTGGGGTTCACCTTGAGTTACAATAACTTGTAAAAATAAAAGAAATAACACTGGTAGTTCATTACACTAGTCTTCATCAAAAATGAAAAACTGAAATTGTTAATAAACACCAAGTGACATTTTTCTTTTTCTTCAGCTGTTTGCAAAGAGGAACAAGGAGATATACCCTTCTTCAGTCTCCATGGTTAATCCTCTTCTCTGTGGTTCCAAGTGTCAATTCTGTTCTGCTCCCCTACAGCAACCACCTCTGTGGTGGGACTGTGATCATTCCTGTACTCTTTAGAGAATTCACTGTCTTTTTAATTTTTAGTATGAACGTGAAAGATTTGCAAATCAGTGTGCTAGTGAATATCATCATTTAAAAGTATATATTGGAAAGTTATGTTGGAACACCCTGAAAGTGATTTGTTGGAAGTCAGTTGTTTGTGAATTCATACTGGTTTTGATATTTTCAATCACTAAATGTTTTCCTTGACACCATGGCACCTATCATGCCCAGCCTTCTCAGGGTACAGAGCAGGAGAAAATGGATTATGCCCTCAACAATAAAAGGCGAGTCATTCGGCTGGTTCTGCAGTGGGCTGCTTTATATGGAGATTTACTACAAGAAGATGAAGCAGCAATGGCCTTTTTGGAGGTATAAAGGAATAGTCGTATCTCTGTACTGAAAAGTACCAGCCAAGCAAGATAAGCTGAAAGCCTGTTCCCAGTCTGCAGAATTCTGTCACAAAGTGAAGAGAAATAGGTCATTTCAAAGTGCAAACTGATAACTCTGTTTTCTCAGTTTTGGCTGCTGACAGTAAATGGAACACAACATGCTTGAACCATTGTTCAAGCCTCTAGACCTCTGAAAATACTGTTGCAGACCCCTTTGAAAGCACTGCAGGGGTAGATTGCTTTATAGCAGTAGATGAATTTGCTTTTTTTAGTATTTACTTGTGAATAGTTATGGAGCGCTACAGGTTGGACTGGAGGGCTGTTTATGCCTGCCTGAGGTGTGCCAGGAAGGAGCTGCAGGGTTGTCACTCTACAAAACCAAAAATCCTTTCCATTTGAAAGAAAGCTGTACTACAGCTATTGGAATTTAAGATCTTTGTCTTCAGACCCTTGTAAGTTCTTTGTGGTAGGTGCCATATCCTTGGATTTCTAAGACAAGAGGTACTGCCAAAGTCACATTAAGTCATCATGATTACCATTATTATTATATATCGAGTTATGGCACACAATCCCATATGGTAGTGGCTGAATGAAAGTTCTTGCCCCAAAGAGCCTAAAACTGAATCTAAGATAAGAATTAGCAGAGGGGAATAGGGAGGGGCCTTAAGAATGGCAGGCATCCCACGAGCCCACATGGGAAAGCTTTTCAAGCTTTGGAGGCAACATAGTCTTTCATTAGGCCAGAAGTTAAAAGTTCAAGAACAAGCACTAGTTGCAAGCATGTGGATCCTTCTTTGGGATCCTCCTTCTTATGTGGATGTATCAGGAAGAGTTTTGAGTAGGGTTTAAGAGAGGGTGATACTGCAGCAGACTAGAGTAGCTGAGAGTCAATGACTCAGCAGTAAATGAACCACTAAAGACTACAACAGCAGTGAATAAAAAACCCTATTGTGGCAGATTATTTGTGAATTTTATAGCCTTTATCCTTGACAGTCTGAAAATGCAGTTTTTGCACAAGCAGTCAGTGGTTACAGAGTGTGCTAAGGAGCCTCATCAGGCTTCCCTTCTGCATATCTAACTCTTGCTTTAAATCAGCTGGAGATAAACAAGTAGAAGTAATAGAGGGTTGGGCCCAGCATGTGTTCCTCTATGCAGATTATCATTCTTTATAATCATTAAGCTATCAGATGTCATCTCATAATCCTCTCTCCTGAGTACTGCTCATTTACCCCTATAGTTATTTAAAGACTATTCTGTATCATTTACAGGAGTTTTATGTATCTGTATCAGATGATACTAGAATGATTGCAGCCCTAAAGGAGCAACTTCCAGAGCTAGAGAAAATTGTAAAGCAAGTGTAAGCACAGTTTTTGCTTCTTTCCCCCTCCCTGCCCTTTTTCACAGTAAACTGATGAACAAAATTTAACAAAATTTATTGCTTATGTCTATTAAAAAGCCATTGTATGAATGGCTCTCAGTCATACAAGACTGAATGTTTGCATGCAGGCTTGTTTGGATTAATGTCTGTGGCCCTCTCTCTTCCACATCAGTCTTGCAAACAGCAGATTCTCACGGAGAGGTAGACAGAAGTTTATTTCATGCTTACATGAACTTTGTATAATATTTTTTCTTCCTTGGTCATAGATTAACTATGGTATCATCTAGTCTTTTCATATATAAATATGAATATGTTGATATTTTAGTTTGACAAGTGGACCATGTTCTGTGGGTGATACTGTACACAAAGTCTTACAGGTAATATTTAATGATATATTCTATGCTTTACCTTTTTATAGTTCTGAAGAACCTAAAGCACCACAAAAGAAGGTAAGATAATTTATTTGCTCACTTCTAAAGTAGAGTCTTAAGCACAGCAAATTCATAAGCATCTTCTCTTTAGTAATTATGGATATATTAAAAAAAGCACATTGAGGAAATAGCTTTTAACATTGTGAAATTTTGCATTGCTACTCTTTTTTCCTGCCATTGATAGGAGCTCTATTGTAATTCATGTATACCACATAATGTTTCTTTTTGCACTGATGTGAATCTTGATGATTCATTTTCAGCACAAAGTTCTTCTGCAGCTGTTCAACACAAGTGATGACAGGGCACAGAAGCGCCAGCCTATCAGGGGCAGCGACGAAGGTGAGTTCCTTCTCTGCAAAGTTTTCTTGAGCCACTGAGATTTGTGTAACTTTGTCTCTCTCAAAAACATGGTCTAAAAATAAATAAAAGTACCTACCTACAGTTTTGAAGCCTGGCCTGAAGCAAACCCTATTTTCTTTTGCTAGCCCAATATTCTCCATCGTTGATTTGAGGTGCTCCTGGTCTTTTCCCTTAGTTACTTGTGCTATCAAACACTATGCTTCCTCAGAGGAAGATGTAAAAACCTTTAAAATAAGGAACGAACAAAACAGGTAAGAACCAGTACAGACAGTCTACTGCAGGTAATGGCAATGCAATAAATAGTGGTGCTGAAGGTCATGTTTGAGCCTCTGTCTCCCCATCATAGCTTGAGCTAACATGTACAGCTGTTGCTTTGCAAGATAGGACTGGAGCAGATAATCATGACACAGATCATACAATCATAGAATCTAGGCACACAGCCTAGAAAACAAAATCTACTGATTTGTCCTATTGCTAATGTTTGATTCTCTGAAGAGATTAAGGTAAAATTTACAGCAGCGTATAAGAATATAATTTTCAGATTATTGAAAAGGTACTTTCAATGGTTGCTTTGGTTCATCTTCACCTAAACCAGCTTCTGTTTCAAGGTATTTGGTATTAAAGGATAGCTCTTCCTTATGAACAACAGTAAAAACAAGGCAACAAAATGCAAGGTCACGTAACTTAGAAAGCTGGTGGCATAAACCAGATCGATGGAAGAGCCGTGTCAAAAGCTGGAACTAACTACATATGAACAACAGACATCCTGTCAGGCATGCAGCCACTCTTGTCCATATCAGTGTTTCTTCTAGGCCTACAAAGAGGAAAACAGTTCCTGCTACCAGGGAAATACTACTTCTTGTATCTGTCCAGACAGGCAGTAACTGCTCCTTTCATGGCTGCACCTTTCTCATTCGCAGGGCAGGCAACACACTGAACACTGAAAACCCATGGATATGTAACCCTCAAGGCTGCTTGACTTGGCTTGACAGCTAAGCTGAAGGAGTATTTTGCTTCTTCTGTCTTAAATTGATGTCAGTTTGGGCTGCCTTACTTTTTGCAGGCTAATGTACTATCATACTGATTTCTAGGCAGCCAGAGGCCTGGGTTTATGTATTACTCTGTGAGCCAATTTGATCTGTACACACAAGTGTATACTTATTGCTCTGTTGTATTATTCTTCATCGTCTACCATATTCTTGATTCAGCAATTACATACTTGCTTGCAAAAAACAGGTTGCAACACAGTTTGATTTAAGTTCTGGTTGTAACCAAGACTATTTTCAAATCTGTTTTGTAAATATGAAAATTATTTTCCTGTAAGTAAGAGAGTTTGCAGCCAGTTTTACTGACTCTTGAAAAGAAGTGTTGATTTAAAATAACATAATGTCTGGAACATAACAAAGTGTCTGATTAAATTAGTATCCGTAAATAATGTAACATCCATAAATAATGAATCATAGAATGGTTTGGATTGTCCAAAATCCCATTCCATTCTCTCAGCTTCTCTTCATAGGGGAGGTGCTCCAGCCCTCTTGTCATCTTTGTGGCCTCTTCTGGACTCACTCCAGCAGGTCCACATCCTTCTTATACTGGGGACCCCAGGGCTGGATGCAGAACTCCAGGAAGGGTCTCACAAGCAGGGGGAATCACCTTCCTCAGCCTGCTGGCCACTCTGCTTTTAATGCAACCCAGGACACAGTTGGCTTTCTGGGCTGTCAGTGCACATTGCCGGATCTTGTAGAGCTTCTTGTGAACCGGCACCCCCAAGCCCTTCTCCTCAGGGCTGTTCTCAATCCGTTCTTTTCCTGCCTATGTTTGTGCTTGGGATTGCCCCAACCCAGGTGCAGGACCTTGCACTCGTTAGCCTTCATGAGGTTTGCACAGACCCACCTCTCAAGCCTGTCAAGGTCCTTTCTGGATGGCATCCCTTCCCTTCAGCACTTCAGTAGTGAAACAGTAGTTTATTAAAACATGGTTTATTAAAAGTTCTGAGAAATCAGAGATTTCTATATTAGAAATTGTAGAACATCTGTGAAATGGGGAGCTATCAAAACTGTAGTGATTTATTGATGCTTTGTTTCGTTTGTGAGGAGTGGTTACTGAAGTGAAAGTAATTTGGTACAGTAAATCTGTGGTTTTTACACATGGAATACTCCATGCAATCTTCTTTTCTTTAGTTCTGTTTAAGGTGTACTGCATAGACCAAACCTATACCACTATCCGGGTGCCAGTGTCTTCCTCTGTGAAGGAAGTGATCAGCGCAGTAGCAGACAAGCTGGGTTCTGGAGAAGGCCTCATCATAGTGAAGATGAGTTCAGGAGGAGGTACTGTATTTGCATCATCTTAAACACTTCTCAGTTATGGTGAAGCAGAATATTTGGAGGGATTGAAAGACTAATTCTGTCAAGGCTTTTATACCCATGTGCATGTTCAGCTAGTACACAAGTTCTGTCTTAGAGGAAAGTCCTTCCTCTACTGCAGGCACAGGCTGGAGCTCACATGGGAGACAGGAAAATGGAGAAGCTTGTGTAAACATGCTACAGAGCAGAGCTACCCCAATTTTCCTTCACTGTTAGACTTGTAAGAGTTTTTAAACAACAGGAATAGGAGGTAAGTGTGGATAATCTCAGGCTAGACTTATGAATCAACAACCTCAGAAAACACTGCAGTGCAGACATTCTGGTAGTGGTCATTACCATTCTGGCTGCTCTGCCCATGCAAGGCACTACAGAGCAGCTTAGTACCAAACTCACTGACCTCATGTTCGCTGAGGGTCAGGAGTCAGACCCCACTAATAGGCTGTGAAAATGTTAAGAGTAGCTGCAAGGTGAATTCTTCTGGAGCATTGGTGATGTTCAAGTGCTTTGGTTGAGTATGACTGTGTGGAGACACACAGAGGTAATGAGAGCTGTGCTGGAAGGCATTTTTGCAAACAGTGGTGCCTGCCAAAAACAGCTCACTTCCTGAGAACTAACACCAGGCAGCTTTTCTTTTTGCAGTTGCAGCAATTTTTTATTGTCAGATTTGCTGACAGCCATCACATGCTGAAAGAAACTATTTTGTAAGTTACTTCATTGTCTTTTCTTTACCTGTGATGTGATGCTCTTTTAGAACTGCTGTAATGCATTTTATCACCTCCTTATGCATTTACTATCTTCCAAAGCAATTTCTATTAAGAACAGCTCTCCAAATGCTTACAGTTCAGCAAAGAATGAATGGAGTCCCTAATTATGGCTGAATTTTTGTAGGTAGTTTCTAGAGATGGCATCATAGGCTTCTTGAGCTGTCTGTACAGTTTGGGACTGGGATTCTAGTTTTCTAGAAGACTGGTTTGGGCTGAGTTTATCATCACATTTCTTCAATAAAGAGGACCTTGTTGTCATCTATCTTGTATCCTGGACATTGGGTTACTGAGAAAAATTTGTTCCCAGGAGGGTGATCTGTGCCGTTGTTGGACGAGTCCTGCTGTAAATTCTACATATATATATAATAATAAATAATAATTTGTTTAATTTTTACAGAAAAGGTTGTGCTCAAACCTCATGATGTTTCAGTGTTTACCACTCTCAGTGTTAATGGACGGCTGTTCGCTTGCCCCCGGGATCAGTTCGATTCATTGGTATGTATGTATGCAGTTCTCTGGAAGGTCAGTGCTGCAGTTCATTTGGACACTTGGCCCTTTTTGGATTATCAGTGCTTTAGGTAATAACTAGTGGAAACCTTCACAACAAAGGACTTGTCACAGTGCTATGGGATGAGCTCTGAAATTAAAACAAGCTAATATTCCGATTTCCTAAAATAGACCGGAAATCCATCCATCTGATCCACATAACAGCACTTGATCCCAGTACTCTCAATCGGTCAGACTGAGCATTTAGGAAGAGTAGAATATTGTCACTAAGATATGCAGCAATTGCTCATTAAAGAATTATCTCCTCAAAGCCATAGGGATATATTCTCAAAGATAGGTGTTACCAGTTAAAGCATTATGGAGATTTGATTCCAACAGTAAATTCCTTTAAATCTTTTATTTCTCATCCCCACAAAATACTGTGTCAAAATCTCAGATTTTGATTCTAAGTAGGATCACAGAAAATATTCCTGGTAGAAAGTCTATTTTTTCTTAGGTAGGATTGCTCATAAGTACTTACAGTTTATACAACCATTCTAACAGTCTGCATGGGGTCTGCTTTTATAGAGTTTGATTTGACTGTACTTTTTGTTCCTTTTATTTCATTAAAAACAAATGTCATTGCCAAGTCATGTCAGCATGAACTCTATTACTCCTAGCCTTGTTTCAGCCTCCTGTATGCTTTTAACAAGCCACTTAGTATGTATGCCTGATTTCTTTTATAGATATGGTAAAATCTGTGCTTTGCTGCTGCTTTCAATTTAGTAACCAAGGAATGCACATCCAGCATATGTAGTTCCATGCAGAGATACCTCTTGTTCAGTTTATTTAATTCTGGTGTTCCCTTAAGGTTAATTAATCCTGCCAAGTAGACACCCTCATGGGGCATGCTACTGTAAAGCAGGGGTGTTGCATCAGTACAGCTGCACTGGGCACTTACATATGGCTCTGCATTGTCTGTGTACACATAGCTCTGGCAGCAAATTGTCATGGCTTTCTGTGCCTTTTCCCTATGCCATTTACCATGGATCAAGTCCTCAAAATGCTGCAGGAAGCTCGGTACAGGCCTGCAACGTGCTTGTTTTCATCAACTAGACTGACAAGTAGGAATTAGAGAGGTACATTCAGCACCTTAAAAATGGTTCTCAGCACTGCATAGCAGAATACATCCCCTTGTCAGCTGCATTTTTTCAAAGAGGTATAAACAAATAGAAAAACGTTACAACCTTATCTGTCTCCCAGTTCAATCCTTTCACATTCCAATTTCTGGCTGCTGCCTGTGCATGAACATTTATTCACATTACATTTGGCAATTCTCATGTGAAAATTGTTCTGGGTAGATGAATTTTCAAATATGCTGTGAGTTTGCATCTAAGTGCTTCTTTCCTAGTCCTGGAAAATACGTGTTTGTTATGGTAACAGCTATGTTGTGTTTGTCTCCAAATAGGGGAAAAAAGCCCTCTTTCAAGCTCTGGGCAATTCTCTTTACACAGATTTCCACATATTAGGATTTTCTACACAAAACTGCTGTGCTTTTATTTCATACGTTGTCATAAACTAAAGAAATTTTGTGTTTGTGCAAATCCCAATTCAGAGCAATCTGCAGGCTTTTATAAGATTGGTGGCTGTCCTGTTTCTTTTATTAGAGGATACTTTTCTTATATACACTTTTTTAAAAAATTGTGGATGAAGCTTTTAAGGTAATAATGCTTTTATTTGGTGTATTAGTTTTTAATTAGTTTGTATTATGCTGATATTTGAAAGAAAAGTTTTCCCTAGAGCACAAAGCAAGAATACATACAGGAATAAAGCTCCTACATACTGTGTGTTACTGAGAAAGTGATTTGATGTATTGATTCAGTCAGTCCTTTTTCTATTGCTAATATATTAATCTTATGTAAAAGAGAATTCATTTAGTAAGCTCATTTTTTATATTGCAGTGTGTAAATATGGCCTGTTAATGTTGCAGACTCCATTGAGTTTGTACTCAGAAAGGAGTCTGTTGACAATTCCGTGCTCCATCATTATCTGTTTAACAAAGAGGTGATGAGAAACTGGGAAACTTGTCAGTGAACTCTGCTGCCCTCTCCTGGGAACAGAACAGCTGACCTGCGAGTTCACAGGCAGCTGTACTGATGATACACATTCGAATTTGTTAGGATTGTTAGTATTTGTTAGTATTTTAGCAGCGCTGGTTCAAACACTTTGAACCTAATATGTACAACAGACTGTTTCAAATCTGACTTGACCTCAAGCCACGTTTTAAATCTCTGTTTAATGTAAGATTTACTTGTATGCAAAACTGTAGGTCACATCTCATTTATTAGCTGCTATGGAAGTGTCTTTCAAAAATGTTTTATACTTGATTCTTTCTCATAAGACTGTGTGCATACCATTTTAATTGGCGTAGCCAGGATTTTTACAGTCACAAATGGTGCCTCCCTATACTGTCAAAGAGAAAGTATGAGGTTTATTTTATAAATGATCAGATCACCTTGCAAGCATTGCAGATTTTTGAGGAATGGAAGATGTAATAATTCCCATCATTAGAATCAGGAATATCTAAAATTATTTTCCTTGTGCTTTGTGGCCTAGTTATTTGCATACATGATAAGGAAACATAACAAAAGTTTTGTGGAAAGATCCTAAACAAACACACATGCTTTAGTTAGCACAACGTGTATTAAAGCATTTATTTCTAGATTCAATTTTTAGAACAATTTTAAAAATAACACACTGAGAACAGCCTGGTTTATATTTCTTATGGTGCCCCTGAAGAGCTTTTGGAATTTTCCTGACTATCCTGTACATATTGAATACTGATTTTACACAGGGCTTTTCATTTCCTAATACCTACCTGTGGTTAAAAGCAAATTTTAGTTTTACTGTGAATTTCAGTTTTACTATTAGAAACATGCTTAGAAAAGTGAGGACACTGAAAAAAAAAAAGAGTTAGAAACATAGTGAAAGGAAAGCACCAATCATGCACTTCAGCATTTCTAAAATATTTTTATACCATTTTTCTGTTTGTAGGCACCATTACCAGAACAAGAAGGACCATCTACTGGTACAGTAGGAACATTTGAACTGATGAGTTCCAAAGACTTGGCACATCAGATGACAATTTATGACTGGGAACTCTTCAACTGTGTGCATGAGGTATGAGGATCTATCTATTCAGCAGGTTAGAATCTTCTAGAAGATGTTTAGTTGTACATTGTAGGTTTGTGCATTATTTCCAAAACTTTTTCTAAGCTTGATTTTCAAAAATCCTACAATAAAGCCACCTACAGGTTTCAAAAGTATAAGACATTCTTAATTCTATAAGCAAAATACAAAAATAAAGTTCTGGACATGTGCTGCTCATTGAATTACTTTTGTATGTTTTAAGGTATAAAGCATCTGTAGTTATGCTTTTACTATGCCTCAGCTATTGTCTACTGGATTTGTAACCTGAATCCTTGTCATCTCTGCAGCAATAAATGTAAACTGCAGAGCAAGTTTCAGGCTAGATACTCACCTGGTCATTCTTAGCCTCTCTCCTCTGTCCAAAAGATTAGAAAAAAAAATTCCAAACTGTTTTCTCTTTTCTAGCTGGAATTGATCTATCACACTTTTGGAAGGCACAATTTTAAAAAGACCACAGCAAATCTGGACTTGTTTTTAAGAAGATTTAATGAAATTCAGTTCTGGGTGGTCACCGAGATTTGTCTTTGCTCTCAACTCAGCAAGCGTGTTCAGCTGTTAAAGAAGTATATTAAGATAGCAGCCCAGTAAGTATACAGTCATATGTGAGCTGGAAGTGAGTTTCAGTATGGTCAGTATGTTTTTATTTTCTATTTTCAGACAGCCACACACAGTAGAGGTTAAAAGATTTTCTATTTCCTAATTGTGTCCATTTTCTTACAGGCTGTATAGAACCTTGTTAATATATATTCTTCTTTCCTGTGCTGCTCTCCATTGCTCCTTGATCTGTGGTTTCTTAGGGCCATGTTTTCACATCAAATTTCTGAGTAAATATATTTCAGTTTGTCATGACGAATCCTTCATTTACCCTTACATACATTAGCAATTATTAATATGGAAATTAGTAAGTATTAACAAAATCGAGCCTTAATTTTCCTGAAAACAGAATTACTTCTGGTGCTGCTCAGGAAAACCATTCTCAGAATTGCCCCGGGTGGGGGAAGGCAAGAGGAGAGAGCAAAGAGATGATGATGCTCGTGTTACTTTCAGTCTGCTTGGGTTTCGCAGCAAGTTCGCTCACAATACAAAACTGGGGGAAGTGTCTGATACACCTGAAGGCTGTGCTGCCGTTCAGTGGGGCTTTTGATAAGCTGGAGAGTGGGGCAGAGAGAAACCTAATGAGGTTCAACAAAGGCAACTCCCCAGGGTCCTGCACCTGGGGAGGAATAACCCCAAGTACCAGCACAGGTTGGGGGGCTGACCTACTAGAGGTCAGCTTTGTGGAGGAGGACCTGGGAGTATTTGTGGGTGACAAGTTGACCATGAACCAGCAGTGTGCCCTTGCAGCCAGGAAGGCCAGTGGTATCCTGGGGTGCATAAGGAAGAGAGTGGCCATCAGGTCACCAGAAGGAGGTGATCCTCCCTCTCTACTCAACCCTAGTGAGGCCACATCTGAAGTACTGTGTCCAGTTCTGGGCTCCTCAGTACAAGAAAGACAAGGAGCTACTGGAGAGGGTCCAGCAGAGGTCACAAAGATAATTAGGGATGTGGATCATCTCTCTTATAAAGAGAGACTGCAAGAGCTGGGCCTGTTTAGTCTGGAAAACAGAAGACTGAGAGGGAATCTCATCAATACATTCAAATATGTCAAAGGCAGGTGCCAAGAGGATGGTGCCAGACTCTTTTCAGTGGTGCTCAATGACAGGACAAGAATCAATATCCATAAACTAAAACACAAGAAGTTCCACCTCAACATGAGGAAGAACTTCTTTACATTGAGGGTGGCAGAGCACTGGAATAGGCTGCCCAAGAGCAATGTGGAGTCTCCCTCTCTGGACACATTCAAAACCCACCTGGACGCATTCCTAAGTAATCTGCTCTAGGTGCCTCTGCCTTGGCAGAGGAGTTGGACTAGATGATTTCTAGAGGTTCCTCTGTGATTTTTTTTCAAATACTTTTGTTTTAAAATGCAGGAATATAAATGTCCTAATTTTTTACTTACTGCTGGGTCTTAGGTTAGATAGCAGGCCATTCTTGCTGTCTTCTTTTATTCCTATTCAAACGTAAGCTACTTGGAGCCTTCACGCCAGACATGTCAGCCTCGACTCCTTAAAGGCAGTGACTGACTTCAGAGGGAGCAGGGGCATGTCCATGCCCTGCATAGCTACTAATTTTTATCAGTGTTTCCCTATCTTTCCAGTTTGTGGTGTATTTATTGTGTTCATTGCTGTCTGAACAGTTTGCTGAGGTGTGCAGTGTTTGTCCATGGCTTTGGGCATTGTGACTAGAAGCCTTTAGGCAGTTTTACCCAACAGGCATGTTGTTACTTGCAGTTAAACCATAAGTTTTAACTTTTTTGCATCATTAAATGGACTTGTGTAAAGGAAGAGATTACTATTACAGCTGTGGTGCCACCCTCCTCCCAGTTAGTAATTGCACATAGCTGAAGTCTGTGTTCACACTGAAACTGGGTGGCTCCTTCCTCTGGGATGCCCTGCTCTGCAAGTACTAGCTTCCTTCTGGGAGCTCCTTTGGGCCCTCATGTTGGATTACAATTGGTCAAAGATGAAGACTCAAAATCTAGTGGGGGGCATGCAGGATCAAGTTTATAATTAGAACAGAGAACAGAATTTACCTCTTTAGTTTCTAAAAATACATATATCGCATATTCCATTATCTCACTGCACAGTGCAGGAGTGGGAAGGCAGCCGCTGGCCTGGCGGGCTGTGCCCAGGAGAGGGCAGTGGCACCCACACACAGATGCGTCGGGGTCTTTCCTAAACTCAGGCATGAAGTGGGGAAAATGTTGAAATGTGGTCATTAAGATGCAGTAGTAATTTCCATGAACGCTTGAAATCAAAGTATCCTAAAAATTACAGTTAAATACCTCCTTAATAAACGGCCCTAGCCCATGGGTTTTTCAGAGTCATGGGTTTAATCCTGTGCTATTTACAACAGCCTGACAACCTCCTGTTTACTTCCATGTTTCTGGTATCACTACAATGCTAAAAATAAATAGCTAAAAGCAGTCTGCTCTGCTGAGTCCTCTTTGTCTCCTAAAAGCAGAGAAATCTGAAGCACAAGATTTTCCTCTGTACAAACCAAGAGGGCAGGTTTAATTGCAGCCGCTGGAAAGGCGCTGGGAAGTTTTGCCAGGCTGCTGCCCTCTGTGCAGTGCTGCCATGGTAACGGGTGCTACAGCATGCACTAAAACAAACACAAAGTGCACCGAAGTTAGAGGAGAGAAAAAGCCCAGGCCTTGAAGCAGTATCTTTGAGGAAGTTTTGCCTGTGAAGATCCTTGAGACCTAATGAGAACTTTACCCTACCTAGAAGTACTAGACTCATTAGAAAAGTGTCTGGGGAGAACAGCTCAATGCTGCACTATTAATCTTAGGCATAGCTAGTGGTAACAAGATGCCTCACATGTACCAATTTTCAAAGATAACTGCTACTGAGAACCCTGTTTCAGTTCTGTGGCTTGGGGCTCAGATGCCATCGCAGGAGGCACGTCATTTTGTGTCTGCCACCCCAGTCACCCTGTGATGTGTGCTCCCAGTCTGTGCAGGCAAGGCCAAGTGCTGGCTCCAAGTGCTGTGCACATGTGCTTTCAGTTCCAGGAGCCAGAGTCGCTTTTGCATCTGCTGGAAAAGGATGCAGAGGTTACCAGGTTCATCTCTTTTCTCCAGCTATTGTAGGATTAAACTTTCAAACAAAAGGGAAAAGTGAACTATATTTCCAACAGTGAGTTCTTCCTATATTAATTGCATTAGAAAGGCCTTCTGGGATGTGCTTGCACATACTCTTACGGATATCCACAAACCCAGTTTGTGGATATTTCCTCTTTGCAGATATATGCACAGGCTATTTAGAAACCTTCCTGTGTGTCACTGTACTCAGACACTTTCATTCAGTTTTTGAAAATTATTCTTCCCGTACACATGCATATGTTATAAGCCCAGTGAGCCTATAAGAAATTTTTGAAGAGTGTGTGTGTTTATAGAGAAAATGCCAAGATGAATATGCTCGTGTAAGTACCGAGAGATTCTAACCACACATATGTTTTTGTATTGGAGACAAGAGAGTATGTGTGTGTGTGTTCACTATTCAAAACAACAGGAAGATTTTTCCAGTACAATCCATTTTGGAAACAGAGCGACCTCTGTTCTGAGCACATTGTGGTGCTTTAGAGGATCCACTTTCTGACATTTTACATGCAGTATATATGCAGTGGAACCATGCAGCACTGTTTCTACTACCTTACAGGGGTCCTCTATCTGAAACTGAACTATTTAGTGTAGAGCTTGTAGAATTTGCAGAAGTTCTAGTGTAGAATGTCATACATCTAGATGGATTTTAACCGGGACTTTGTCAAATTGCATTGCTTAACGAGGTATTTGGCAAAACATTTCCTTTTTAAAATGAAGAGAGATTCAAATTAAATATTGCAGATACAGTTGCAGCTGCCTACATTGTTTGAGCACTAGTGCTGTGTGGTACTAATTATTTTTACTGTGCCACAATTTACTCCTAATCCTGTCATGGACTGTGCACAGATATCCCTTTATGGGTTTAGTTGTGCCTAGGGAAGAGGCTATCACTGATAGCCTATCCTGGCTGCATTTCATCTTTATTTCCCCTCAGATCCACTAATGAGGCACTCCCTGACCTGCTGGAGTCAGAACAAGTTGGTGTAGCTTTAGCGTTTTGATTTGTCCTTGCTAACCTTGCTCACTGTCCCTAATCTGATGTGGGAGAATTGTATGAGGAGCTCTGCCAGAAGATCTGAGGGGGCAGTAGTCTCCCAACAGACAGACCATCAGATGGGAGAGGTCATTTATTCACATGCTCAGTGTTCACACAGTGCAGACACAAGTAAGGCCCAGATCTAAAGGACTCACCCACTCAGTACATCAAGTCTGGTGAAATGGAGGGACAGAAAGTAGAGAATGATGTGGATGATGGATGATAGAGATTAGCATGATGTGGCAGTTATGGAGTTGGACAGTAGGATGTGATGATGATTGTATTAATTTCATCTGAAGCTAAGGATACCTCAGAGGAGCTAAGAGCTTCAGGATGAATGAAAAAATCTGAGAATCATAGTTAGAATCTTATTAAAGTTTTCTTGGTAAATCATAGAATAGTTTGGTTTGGAAGTGACCTTAAAGATCATCTAGTTCCAACACCCCTGCCATGGGCAGGGACACCTACCACTAGACCAGGTTGCTCAAAGCCTCATCCAGCCTGGCCTTGAGCAATTCCAGGAATGGGGCATCCAGAACTTCTCTGGGCAACCTGTTCCAGCATCTCACCATGTCATAGTAAAGAATTTTTTCCTAATCTAAACCTGCCATCTTTCAGTTTAAAGCCATTAGCCCTTGTTCTGTCACTACATGCCTTTGTCCAAAGACGCTCTCCAGCTTTATTTTAGGCCCCCTTTAGGTATACTGGCAGGTGCTCTAAGGTCTCCCTGGAGCCTTCTCTTCTCCAAGCTGAACAACCCCAGCTCTTTCAGCCTTTCTTCATAGCAGAGGTGCTCTGGCCCTCTCATAATTTTCATGGCCCTCCTTTGTACTCACTCCAGCAGATCCATGTACTTCTTATGTTGGAGGCCCCAGAACTGGTCACAGCACTCCAGGTGGGGTGTCACAAGAGTGGAGTAGAGGTGGAGATTCACCTCCCTCAGCCTGCTGGCCACACTGCTTTTGATGCAGCCCAGGACACAGTTGGCTTTTGGGGTACAAGCACATACTGCAAAGTCAGATAGAGGTTCTTGTCAACCAAAAACCCCAAACCCTTTTCCCCGGGGATGCTCTCAATCCATTCTCCAGCCAGCCTGTTATTTATGCTTGGGATTGCCCTGACCCAGGTGCAGGACCTTGCACTTGACCTTGTTGAACTTCATGATGTTCAAACACAGTTCCACCTCTCAAACCTCCCTCCACCATATTGACCACACCACACAGCTTGGTGTCATCAGGAACCTTGCTGAGGGTGCCCTCAGTCGCACTGTCCACGTCACCGACAAAGATGTTAAACCCCAACAGTCCCAATACCAATGCCTAAGGAACACCACTCACATCAGAAGCAGCAGAAACTGAGATGCTGAAATTGGGTGTTGGCAAATCACTTGAGAAAAATGGCGAATTATTTGTGAGAATCTAGTGAGACGCAGATTTACGAAGTATAGGCTTTTGTTCTCTCTCTCTCTCTCTTCCCTTCCCATTGGGTCAATGAGCCACCTGATGCAGTTCCAGCTGAGCAGCTGTGTCGACTGTTCCTGTGCCTACTCCTGCATGTGGCTTATTGGATCTTCCATAATACTGTTACATGTTCCAGTTTTTCCTGACTGGTAGCAAAAGTCCTTCTTTGCATCAGAGGTGAAGTGTGACCCAGAGCTCCTAGTGCCCAGGATTTCTTTAATGATGCTGGTAACAAATAGCAGTTTTTTGCCTGAAACATACTAAAGAGTTGAGAATCTGTAAGTAATAGAAACTCTGTACTGCAGGACAGGTCACTGGCATGGGACATCTCTAGACAACTGGTCTTCTCCCTTTAAAAAGACTCAGTAACCCTGAAAACTGCAATGAAGATCATCTAGGGAGAACTTCCAGCCTTCAGTAGCTGTTCAGAACCTGTCAGGAAATTCTGCAGCAAATGAGGTTGTAAACTACTTGCTTCCGCTGGTATCCCTTGGGACTGAACTGAGCCCAGTTTCAGTACTGTGTTTTTGGGTGGGGAATTGCTTAAAAAACTAGGAGTCCTTCCAGAATCTGGCACCCAATGAAGTGAAAGTAGAAGGTCATTTTAGGAGGGAAGGGAAACGAGCCTCCAGAGTGTGGTGAAGTACTAGCACATTGGAGAAGAGGTGTCTGCAGACATGCTAGCCAGAGCTGCCCAAATTAAGTCACATGTAAGCTAGATGCCTGGCCGCAGCTCTCTTAAGACTGTCATATGTACTGCTCTGACTGATGCATACAACTTAAAACCTTGCCCTTTGTATTTCAGCTGTAAAGAATACAAAAATCTGAATTCCTTTTTTGCTATTATTATGGGACTAAGTAATGTTGCTGTGAGCCGTCTCTCATTAACATGGGAGGTAAGTCTTAGCTAAAATCCAGTTCCAAGAAACTTGACAGGAATTTATGCTTTTAGTTAGGAAAACTGTGAATTGGGTCTTTATTATTGATAAAATTAGATCTACTAATTCAACTCCTGACCGTAAGTCTTTAGTTAAGGCTGGCAATTTTTAATAGTAAGGCAGTACACCGTACCCATAAGATCTGCTGAATAGCCACAAGCAGTTAACAAGAGTGACAACAGTGGCTTCAATTGATGAGCTAAACTGTCCAACAGGATGAGCAAGTTAGCCAGCTAACCTCTGAGATCAGCCCATCCTCTGTGTGCCTTTACTGGTGGTTCAGTGAGATCACTCCATGGATAATTCTCTAAAATTCATCCTCTGTTTATACATATTATTTTCTGATCTCCATAGGGACTCTGTTGCTCTGTTAAAGTGTGGGTTTAACCCACATTTAACTGTCTTAACCAGTTCTGCTTTTCTCTCTGACATGCATTTCCCTGCTTACTGTCAGAGGTACTCTTCATTCTCAGAGCTTCCACCTTTTTCTGTGGCTTTGCTCTTTTGTATATCAGTATATAAAAGGGGTGCAGTGTCCAGCAGGGTGAGGTAGTAAACACATGTAACCCCTGAGAACACACTGGTTGTCAAAAGCAGTGCAGATTTGAATGTGCATGTATTCTGTTCATTAGAAATTCAGAATAATTAGCATGACTATGTTATTGATGGAACTGAGACCAAAATTTGAACACCTTTACAAATGTGCTCTGAAACAGGAGATCAGACTAACACGTCTGAGAAGTCACCAGCCCTAATTTCAAAAGTACATGTTGCAAGGGGCATGTACAATCGGTGCTATAGGCAAAGATTTTCAGTTTCTTAAAATAATGACCCTTCATTTGTGGCCACTGAGAGGATTTGGGAGAGCTGAAACAGTACAGTAGCATGAAGAGAAAAGAAGGAATTGAATATATATACTACATACAGCAATCTGAAATGGGCACTGGGTCTGAGCTGAGGGGAGCACATCACTTGTAAGTGTGGGGTATTAACTTGAGATCAGGGAAATGTTATCACACTTCACTTCTGTAGAGCAGTCGGTTTATCAAGAGAATTTCTGCAATTTGATTTTTAGCCAGAAAAATATACAGAATAGACTTAAAACCAAACACATTGAGACCTGATTTTTGCTATATTATCATGCATTTGCATTAGTTGCATGCACAAATTAGATATTTGCAGGTGCAAATGTCCAATTATACCACTTATTTCACAAATACCTAATCTGCATGCATATGCAAACTAGGCACACAGTTGTTGACACACATCATTAAAAATTAGGCCCTTGCTGTGGCACAGTGTAAATAGCTTGCTAGGGTACACACTCCAAATGTAGAAAGTATTGCAAAAAATAATTTCTGCACTGAAAAGTCTCAATTAATTTTTAATGTTATCCACTTCCAGTGGTAGTCTATTAATTCAGCAAATGCAGAGAAATTTCTTGTTAAAACTAGAAAGTTGACATATTCTGAGTGTACCTAAAAAATTACTGTGATGTCTGAAACTAATTTATAACATATCTTTTAGTCTTTATAGTGAAGTTATTTAATCTGTATGACATAACATGCATGAGGGGGAAAAAAAGTATTTAGTAAAGCCCATTTCATCTCAATCATTGCATCATCAACTGGCCATGTTTTATTTGTGTAGGTATTGTGGACTGAAAAAATATTCATTAATTTATAGCCCAGAAAGTGGTAGAGGCCCTTTGCTGCTGGGCATGTCAAGATTTTAAGCAATAGTTGGAGATACATCATCATGATCAGAAAAACCGCCTGGAAATGCCCAGGCATGGATATGAATGTTTGCAAGGGCAATTCATCATAGGTATGAATAATTAAGCTGAGCTGCCCCTACACAAGCTATGTGTAAACAGTGCTTTCAGATAGGCTAAAATCAGGAACGTCCTGAAACCATTCACTTGAACTTCCACTTACATTCTGAATTCAGTGATTGTGATGTGAGCCAAACAAAAATCTGAATCTAAACATCCCAAAGGAGTAAATTCAAGTCAGGGTTTAAATCAGGATCCAGGTTTCATGGCTGGTCCCGTCTCTATTTATAATCTGGTTGCTAGGAAACATGTTGTATTTTAGATTAGCACATTGTTAGAAATATCTGGCAAAAAAGTGCACTTTCCTGACTTAGGGCGTTGTAGAAGGAACTAGCATTTACAGTAAAATTACCACACTAATCAGATTTAATTAAGGTTTGCTATTTTTGTTTTTATTAACAGAAACTTCCAAGCAAGTTCAAGAAGATCTATGCTGAGTTTGAAAGCTTAATGGTGAATAGCAATAGATCCCTTATCCTATGCACAATCTGAGATAATTCAGTTTCTGAGTAACTGATTTGAATTCCTTGATTCAGAACATTTTATGTGTCCTTGTTTGACTTTAAGAAGTTTATGATCCCTTTTTAGAGCTGCTAAAACAAGTATGTATGACTAATAAATTATACTCTTAGGAACCTACTCTAAGAGAACTTATGTGCCACTCAAAGTTAATCTGGGAACTCAGGAAAGCTTTATCACATGTTTTCTGATAGTACATATGGGAATTTCTATTTTTCAACCTGGATTTTTCCAGGCAATACATTTTAGTGTTACATATGCAAAACTGGATCTGCAGCTGCAAGGAGGGAGGAAAAATGTTTGGTTTCTTTTATAAAGGATGTTTTTGTAATCATGTCTTACCTCGCTATTTGGCATGAAAAAATGTTTGTGTTTAGTGACTGCATTCTCATCATATAAGCAGTCTGGGAGAAGGATGAAAGGTGTCTGAATTTGCAGATACACTTTTAAAGGCACAGGAAAAAATAATTATTTTAATAAATGCCATGACACCTAAATGAATGCATGCAGTGTCTCAATACGTATAATAATACATATTAGTAATTATTTGATTTCTCTTTTTTCCATAAGGATCCATCGAGAAACCACAGGGCCTACAGACTAACTGTAGCTAAATTGGACCCTCCAATAATTCCTTTCATGCCACTACTTATAAAAGGTAAGCTTGGAAGTTACCAGAATTATTAACTTGAAAGCTATTTGTCAAATATTTGAAGGATAAGAGTAGCAGCAAGAAAAAGCAAAAATCAATCTCAGTGTGAGGTATGATCTTTTTCCATTATAAAAAGCATGACACAGAGACAAGAAAAACTGCTTTCATACATCTGAATATCATGCCTTGATTTTATTAGTCTTAGAAATGCTGCAAATTAAAACCTAAATGTTTTACTTTTACAGCTGCTGTGATTTTTGTAAGGGATAGATAAAATGTTCTGCTGGTTTGTATGGCCACAATTCAGTAATGGGCTTTTATGTGTCTTTTATTTCTATACAGACATGACGTTTACTCATGAGGGAAACAAGACATTCACTGACAATCTAGTAAATTTTGAAAAAATGGTATGTATAACATATTTGAAAGAAAACTTTAAAAGACCTCCCTATTCACCTCTTCAACCGTGAACTTCTCAGCAATGACTTCCAGGGCTGGAGAAAGTGAAGGCAAGAGCAAGAGCTGGCAAAAATAGTCTGTGTTGTGCAAAGCACCTGGGACCTCTGGGTTTTGGAAAACCTCACAGAGGTGGAGAAGGAACTGCCCACTGAGCCATGCACAGCCAAAGTGTTTCCTAGGGGAGAGAGCAGCAGTGACAGGAAGCAAAGCTGTCAGACACTTTTTAACAGCCAGTTTGGGACCAACCTGTGATTTTAACTGCTGTTCCTTCAAACAAAACTGAACTGCCTTTGGTATAGTTCTGCATTGCTCCTCAGAGAATGAAGGAAGCATTAAATAGAATGTGCACAACATCTTATTTTCTTCTTTCCTTTAACAAGTGAAAGGAGACATCTGTGACTTGATTGCTTTCATATTGGAAAGGAGAATCAATGATAAAAGGTTAGATTATGCTCAAATTTGATTTATTTTAAATCCTACACGTAAGCCGTCATCATTTCAAACACTGTTGTCAAAAACTGCAGGCTGGCAACTTGCCACCACAGAAATCTCAGCTGAAACTCAAGTTCCTCAGCAGTGGTTGCCAAGGCCATGTTCCTCATTAATGACACCTGCATCTGAGAACTACGATAGCCAACCCAGCTATGAGCATCTGCATAGGAAAACAAAACCTGACTTACTGTTCTGGCAGTAAATTGTAGAATCACAGAATCACTAATGTTGGAAAAGACCTGCAAGATCATCAAGTCCAATCATTAACCCAGCACCACTGTGTTCACTGGTAAACCATGTCCCCAAGTGCCACATCCGCACACTCTTTGAACACTTCTAGAGATGGTGATTTCACCACTTCCTATGCCTATTCCAATGCCTGACCACCCTTACAGTGATGAAATTTTTCCTCACATCCAATCTAAACCTCCCCTGGTGCGACTTGAGGCTGTTTTGTCTCAGCCATTCAGCAGCCATGCTAGAGCGTATCTCCTCTGGCATATATGCTTGTTCTTAGTACTACAGTAACCAGAACCACTCTATGGTTATTTCCACTGCATCGTGGAGGAGTTTGTCTGACCCTCTGAGTACTGATAACTGCAGAGGGGGAAAAAGGAGGACTTTCAGCTCTTAAAAAAGCTTCAGAGAAAAGTGGTCATCACTCTGAGTGAATTCTCTTAGATTTTAATCTGTAGCTCCAGGACAGCCTCTGTCCTAGGGTGAAAATACCCCTCTACTAAGATGAGACTTTTTTGTGGGTAAATGGCAGTGCTAATGCCTGAGTAAGAGCCTGACCTCACTTTGCATATGCAGACTGTGTTGCCATCTCCTTCCAAAGGCCTTGAGCCTTCTACCTGCAGAAAAGAATTAGGTAGATAAATATATATATATAAATGTAGATAGTAAGTACTTTGGGGAACACAAAGGGATCTCAGACTTGGTTGGAGCACCTCCAAACCAGAAGGGATGGCAGCTGCATTGCTATAGCCATGGTTCTGTGGCTGCCTCCAACATCTCCACCTCCCTTGGCCTATTTACACCTCCTGAGCCAGAAGAGCTGGTACATCCACTGGCCTCAGAGCTCTGTCCCTCAGGCTCTTCTTTGTGCCTGATTATGTGTAGAAGCCATTACAGGAGGCAGGAGTTCTCCTGTAAGCACTTCCATAGACAGAACTTCAACCCAGACTTGTCATTTAGAAATAGTTCTGCACCACTGTATACCACACTTAGGCACTCCCAAGGCCAGGATTGAATTTTATAGCAGCCTAGACTGATCTAGGCTGCTGCAGATCTGACCTTTTCACCCTGGTCTGCACATTGCCTTCTCTTCAGCAGGATGTTATCTCCAGAACAGCAGTTTATTAGTAGTACCCAAAAGTCTTAAATAATATTTTACACTGCAAGGAGGTAGTACCAGTAATTGGGGTTTTGATCATTTTCTTTAGGAGGGGGAAGTGAATATCAATTAATTTTTTTTTATACTATATATTTTTTAAAGAATCAATATTATGTCTCACGTTCCTCCACTCAACAGAACGGGAAACATTATCCTCTTTTAGTATTTTAAACCTTTCTTCAGTTGGTGCTCTACCTAAAAGCTCACTCTGCTTTTTCTCTTGGCCTTACTACAAGTATATCTTTTGTATTTTTATTGTTCTTCACTAGCTATTCTTCATGCTTCTATGGTGTTTTTACTGGCTCTCTCAACCCATAGCTGTTCAAAGCAACCTGTATTCAAATTCCACCCACATAATTCATTCAAATCCTAACATGGACCTGGCAGGTTTTAGCTTTTTGCATGTGACATCAGGTCAAGCAAAGAAGAAAAGCCTACTGTTAAACCTCAGTTGCTGCCGCCTACTTGTGTTGAGCTTACAACTGTCATATCCACACATAATTGCCAGATATTAACTAGTGAAGACAAGACCACTCAGCCAGATAACTCTCAGATAAATTTTGCTCTCTTTTACATAAGGATAAACCCAAGGTAAATCTGTGATGTTACTCTGCCATTTTCAGGAGAGAAGCAGAAACCAGATTTCCTCACAGGAATCATGTCCTGCCATTTGTTGTTTCTGTCTGTTTGTTCTGCTGCCTGATGTTCTCTTACAAGCAGATGGAGATTCCTCTGAATATTGCTGGGAGCTACCCTTATGGATCTTTCTAAAACATCTTTGTTCTTTGGAAAATTGTTTCCCTTGACCCATCCTAACTTTGATGTTTGCTGAAGTTTATGAATAAAAATATCTGGGTAGTTGCCACTGTTGGTGCCATTTGCCACCAAAGGAGGTGGGTCCCTCCAAGTCTCATGTAAGCACAGTGATGGAACTGAGAACAGCCTCTGGCATCATGTCTGCATTCTCACCACAGAGCTCTGATCCCGACAGCTGATGTGCTGCTGACAACTTTATTCCTGTAACTGGCAGCCAAAAGTAGAAGTTTGATCTAGTGGCATCTCTTCAGCTGAAACAGCTTCCTTTAAATCTTTTCTGTTTTGTGATGTTTCTGTTATTATTTATATTAAACGATGCGTCTTAAAACATGCAGGAACTGTGAAGCAGTGTCTGAGCCAGGAGCTCTCTGAGTGCCAGAAACAGCGAGGCCTGGTTTCCTAAACATTTGTGTTTCATGGCTGCCTGAGCTCTACTCAGAGCTTTCCTCGTGGCTGGGGCATGTGTCGTTTCTTCATGGCTGGGGAATTCTGTGTGAATAGGCTTTTGTCATAACATAGGAACTTGCACTACAGCCTTTTTCCTGAAGGAGACAGGAGGCCACTTACACAAT